ATGAGTCAGTTTTCTTGTCATTAGTTTCATGTCACTGATGTTATTAATATCTAATGTAGGTCAACGCAAAGGGACAATTCGATTCCAGTAATTCAAAACATCAGTGGCATTACTTTTAATGTAATTCATAATACTTAAAAGAATCGTCTAACAAGAAAGGGTGTATTGGTCTTAAAATACAAATGGCACACAACTTGTATCATTCGCGAATAGGCTAACTAATTTTCAATTTAAAATTCTGTGTGCATATATGTACTGTGGTATTTTAAGGGTCACATTAACTGTTTTGTATTTAAACATTAAAATTAGAAGTGTTTTATTTTAGCCGATAATCTGATTCACAAACCAAACAGGTAATGAAGTTGAACAGAATACGTATAGAAGCTAGTACATATGTATGAATGATTACAAATTTTTTCAGGAGAAGGGGTATAACACGAATGAAAAATGTTCGTGATTGACACCACTTCTTTTCTTCAATGGAATCTCGGAACTCAATTTTAATTCACGAAAGGGTGTCGCTTAAAAACGCTTTCAGTTATCTGAGGCAAGAAAATTTGAACACGCGCAGCCAGAGTTGTGATAGTGGCCAAAGAATGCTCGTCAGAAACGCAAATAATTTTGCATGGAACCGCTGGGGTGAAACAAAGTACTAATTCCATTTTACAACCCCAAAAATGGTTGATTTGTTTATTAAAACTTGGTACGGTTTTCTTATAAATATATTATTTGTATATGAAATGCAAGCAACCGTTACTTGAGAGGTAAAGGTGAATATTTCAAGAAAAATATATTTGAGTTTAAAAATGTAAGAGGCTTAGGATTTGTTAAGATGATTACATACTATAGTAGAGAAAAATAAATTCAAAATAACCAAAACCCATTAGAGGTTTCTTCAAAAACATCAAATTCCTATTAAGAACCACTATTGGGTTTTGAAAGCCAGTACGCACAACAGAGAGCTTTCGATGTAGTTCCCTCTCGTCTACCAGACAGCCGTGGAGCAGCTGGGACCACAGCGAGCTCATCTCTCCAGCGCAGCGGTGCGAGCGGGGGAGATTTACGGCGCCAGCCGCGTGGGGCGCCGCGATCGCCAGCTCCAGCGCCACCGCGCCCGCCCGGCCCGCACGAATATTTTTATGCGTTAACCGGCGGCGTAACCCCAATACACGCGAGGAAAACAAAGTTATAAATCGGCGCCGCCGCACGCTTTCATCGGCTGCCGACGCGGGGGGAGGGGAGGCGTTTATTCTGCGGGCGAGCGCAGCCGGCGGACGAGGCGAAGCCCAGGGCGTCGAACCGAACGCGTTTTTTCGATCCGGTTTGCGCTCGGAGTTTTTTTTTATATAAAACGGCGAGGTCCTTCTGTTTGAGATTGTGATGTAATAATCTCTTAATTATTGCTAGCGTTCTTGAGACAAGCTATCCTCATATAATTGGGCTGCAGAATCATTAGATGTCGTCTCCTTTTGGCATGCATTTCTGGACGTGACCGGACATCATCTCATTTTGAGACAAACAGCGCGATCGAGGCGAATACAGACTAGTTATTTTTCTCGTAGTAGAAGACGTAATATCCTAAAAGTCAAAAGTCAGACCAGGACAAAAACGTCTTTAAAAACTTATTAATCGTTACAAATTACTTGCTAATCCTTTCAAATCGATGAAAAAATGTATATTAGATTATTATCATTTTTCGTTTTCAGAAGGCAAATACGGGCACGAATTGTGGAAGGGGGAAATCAACCCCCTTTGTCTTCCGCAAATCTATTAAGCTGAAACTCGAAAGGGGCTGAAGGATGTAGTATCCTTTGAATTTGGAGAAGTAAGACCAGATAGACAATATCGAATTTAGTTTTCACTGATTTTTTTTGACTGGAAAAAAGTTTCATTTCTTCAACACTTTCGAATTACGAAGACACAGAGAAGCAACAATCTCCGGACAGTTTTACAGACGGGATTTCCTGAAGCCGCCTTTTATTTTCAATCAATATAACTATGAATGGATCATTCATTTTTTTCAGTACAACAAACTTTTTTCATAAAAATCATTCCAAATATAGAAATTGAATGATGACGCGAAAATAGCTTCACATGGAAAAGGACTGCATCCATTTTTTAGGGGGGAGAAATGCGTCTGAATACCATTTTTCGTGCCAGTGTGAGATTTTATACCTTCATGAAACTTTGTTCTGTAATACAAGGCCATTACTCTCTTTACATATTTTACAATTTTTGTATCAACTAGACCGCAACAGTGAGTTATTAGCTATGGGAAGAACAATTCTCGCTCATACGAACTATTTCTTCCTGAAGAATTACAAACACATAAGATTTCAACTGAACTGCATCAGTCTAATTATTTCTCTCACATAGTTAGATTCTCCTTCACACAGTTAAATAAAACGATATATTTCATTTTGTAAAACTTGGTAGGTTTTCGTGGAAGCCAGCAGACTTTGTCGTAAAAACTAAATGGCATGTAAAGGAGGCGGATGCCAAGTAGGGTACGACGAAAAGACTACAGTATTCTCGAAGATTTAATGCTCCAAAGGAGATACAATTATTGTGATGGATTCATGATAGTTCTCTCAGGAAGAGGCAGCACATTTTGTTTAATGTACCAAATGAATTATATTTACAACGGCAAACTGAGTGTAAAATATTTACGGCTGCTGATAATCACAATGACAGATCAAAGGGACTTTTGATTCACGGAATACATGTCAACATCTGGGAAGGAATGATTCACTGACAACCATCGGCTATATCTCTCTCCCATCTAATTGAAATGGAAACAAGTATGTCGGTCACCGCAAGCATTCCACACTCCCAGAAATACGAGCTTTTTCCACTCGGAAAGTGCCCTGCAGTAATAAAAGCTTTTTGAGACAACGGAACCTGAATCGAAGAGCAGAAGGACTCCAAAATGGCGGAGCCGTGTCGTCGACCTGGCAGCCTCCGCCGCACCGAGCACTACGGCCGACGCCCCCGTCGCCTACTCATCCGCCAGAACCACTGCCCTTCTAGAGCTGTCACCTCCAGACCTTACTTACCCTATTTTATCAAATCTTAGACGTTTTTACGTCATTTTTATTAAAAATCAATCTTCTCAAAAACAACTCCAAATTCTTTCTTTAAACTTCTGTTATGGATAGTGTTAAATGCTTTGAATAACATGACATACTAAACATCATTTTTATGTATAATTGCTATATTTCATAAATTACCAAATGTAATATATATAGTTTATAAACTTGTATATACCCTGCAATATGCCCCACTTATATATATCTTACGTTCTTAATACTGGTATTACGGGCGTTATATATATATATATA